ATTTAGCTAAAATTATTGTAATTATCGAAATTCATCATTATTGATCGAATTTAACAGAAATTGATCGAAATCACGGCCCAGTAAGAAAAGTGCGGGGTGCAGGGAGTGCGCGATGGCACAATGAGAGTGTCTGTCTGTCTGTCTGTCTTTGTGTGTGTCTGTGTGTGTATGGTGTAACATAAGGGACCCAGTCAGGGTGGGACCCTCCCCTCCTCGCACACCCAACCAGGCAGGCAGGGCCAGAAGGGAAGGGAAAAGCCTGCTGCTGTCCGTAAGCGGAAACACGTGCTGTTGCCCCCTCCCCCTTCTAGTACACACATTCCAAACAACAGACCGATTGGCATAAGGGCACACATGTGTTTTTGAAGAATTTAGTACTATCGAGCCGAATCGATTGAAGATGACTAGCAGAGAGAATTTGTGAATTGTGGGGAGCTAGCAGGCAACATTGAGGAAAAATGACAAGGCAGGCTAGCAGAGATTATTAAGGAAGATCTAGAGGGTAGGATAGCAGAGCGCATTTGGGGAATGGAGGAAGGGCAGGCTAGCAGAGAGAATTTGGGAAGGAAGGGCAGCTAGCAGAGACCATTTGAGGCCCATTTGAAAAATGGGTACTTCCGAAATGACCTTTTCTAACTTACCCAGATATGGATTTAGGCAAAACGGATTTAGGCGAAGTGACCGGAATTCTTTAAAAACTAAAAAAAATTTAAAGGAAATTTAAATTTGACATTTCCTCAAAATCTCTGCTACTTTGCCCTCTAGAGAGATAACCCCTAAAAACCTGTGCTAGCCTGCCTAGCCCTAAATCCGATCTAGCACAGGAATTCCCAAAGAATTGCTGCTAGCTTATCCTAAAGATCAGCATTCTCAAAGAACCCCTGCTAGCTTGCCCAAGCCTTGAAGATCGACCTTTCCTAGGGAATCTCTACTAGATTACCCTCTGGAGCGCCATTCCTAAAGAACCGTTGCTAGCTTGCCTAGTGCGCAATTTTTCACGATTAGAATCATGTCAAAAATTCCAAAGCAATCTCTGCTAGCTAGCTTTTGCAGGAATCTCTCAAAAAGTCTCTGCTAGCCTGCCATCCTCGCAGGATCCCTGCTAGTCAAACGGCTTCCAAAATAATCTCTGCTAGCTGCCCCCAACTTCTGAAGCTCCCCGAAATGATCTCTGCTACACAACCGGCTCTACCGGTTGAAAAACGCTCAAAAAGTCGAAAAACCCGCATGCACACACAACACCAGAGTTTCCGGGGCGAACCTGACGAGTCTGCGGGGGGGGTGAAGCCCCAAGGGGCGACCGCTTTCAAGTTCCCGGATAGAATTTCACCCAGCCAACCCCCCAGGGCGAACAGTTGCTGGTGGAGGACAACAAAAAAGGAAGAAGTCGAAGGGGGGGTTAGATTTAGAACTTTAAAGGGAGGTTGAAGATTAGACCTTGCATCGGCCTAGACGGTTAAAGAGACCAGAAAGACCCTAAATCCGACAAAAAGACAAAAACCCTGCCCGGAAAAATGTGCTGCCAAAAGCGCGTGAAATGTTCTTTGCTGCCGCATGTAGTTACAGGTCCCTAGCTGGAAGAGTCGATTTTGGGGCCTAAGTTCCTTTAAAAGTTGTTCGGCAGGCGAGAGAGAGAAGGTGGGAGAGAGAGAGAGAGTGGGAGAAGAGATATAGAAAAAGACAGACAGAGAGAGACAGATCGAGGGAGGGGAGACAGACAGAGAGAGAGCGGGAGATAGAGAGAGTGAGACAGAGAGAAAGAGAGAGTGAGAAAGAGAGAGAAAATTACTGTTACTACTGTTACTAAGTTACTGTATTTAGAGGGAGCGTGCCAGAATTTTTTCTCTCCAGCTAATTTCTTCTGAGTCGTAGTTTTATAGAAAGCAGAATAATAACTCGGCCAATCGTACAAAAACCGCCGCCGCAAATGACAATTCATAGGCTAGAGAGAGCGAGAGAGAGAGAGAGAGAGAGAGAGAGAGAGAGGGAGGGAGAGAGAGAGAGAGGGGAGGGCGGCCAGCGAGAGAATGCCGAAACAACAAAAAGAGCCAAAAGCCCGCGGCAAATTGTGTAGCGGCGAGAAGGTGATTTTTTGCGCGCACGCGTGCGGGAAGCTGACAGACAGACACAAAGAGACAGACGAACAGAGCCGCGGCCCGAAATTCGGTCACTTGTCTTTTTTGCAGGTCTTTTTGTTCCGCCCTTCCCCCCTGCTGGGTGGATGTGACTGGCGAGGACACACCATTGATACCCCCTCACCCTCCGGATCCGAATTACTAGCCAATTGGAAGCCGGAAAACCGGAGAGTTCGGGCTTCTTCCGGCTTGATAGCTAATTTGCCTTAATTTCGTTTGGGTCGAACTGTAGGGGGAGAAGAAGCTGGATATAGGGAAGGAAGTGGAAGCGCTGAAATTCCAGTGAAATCCAACTCTTTCGAAATTCGTTTTTTTTTAATTCTCAATTATCTACATTTTCGGCATTTTCAAATTTAGATAATTCAAATTTTATGCTTTCAGAAACAATTTCAGTGTGGTCTCAATTATATTCAGTAAATTAGAGCTTAGAAAGGCTTAACTTTTGAGAGAACACACTAATGATGCCGCAACCTCAGCCATCGTGTAAGATTCAGGCTCGTATTTTGCGTTGGTGTGAAGCTCAAAAAATCTGGCTTCCGGATATGCGTAACATATTTTTGGCCAAGCACCACTTCAAAAATCTCCGGATGGTTGTTTGGGGGTGCCCCGGAAGTTCACAAGCCCGGATCATCACCATCAGCTGCACGCACGATGCGCTCGTAGCGGATAGGCAAACAAACAAAGCGGGAGAGAGCGAGAGAGTGAGAGCGAGAGTGAGAGAGAGTGAGAGAGATACCAACAAACAAATATTTGAATGCGGGCAAACAACAGCTCTGGGAATGGTTGAAGCCTGAAGATTACACAAAAGAATCCAGATTTTAGAATATTTGGGGCAAAATTCGGGGTTGCGGGTTACGGTAGCAAAAAGTAATACAAAAATAAAGACCTAAGTGGGTTAGGGTAGGAAATTGCATTTCTGCGGATACGGTAGGGAAAACATAGGCTCTGGGGGCTCACAGTAAAAAAATGATTTTCTGCCATCCATGCCGACCCCACCCTGGAAGGCCAAGAATATGCAAATTTTCTGGCGCCACTCCCCCCACACGACATGTGACAAATTGGTGGCATATCTGGACGCTCCCAATTAGATTCGTATAGCCTTCCACCCATTGCCATGCTGTTTCTTGGGGCCCAGTTGTGGCCCAGTTGTGGCCCGCTGGGCCCTTGTGGGAACACATGCGGGGATTTGTGTCTTTCTGTGTGTCTTTGCAAAAGTCGAAAAGAGACAGACAGACAGAGAGAGAGAGAGAGAGAGCGAGAGAGAGAGAGATACGACAAATGTCCCTCTCACATGCCCATGGCAAAAGTGTCGCATTTTTAGCATGGAAGGCCATGAATTTGGGAGGACCCTCTGACTCTGTTCATAGTTGTCTAACGGAATTGATGGAACGTGCAAAAAATTCAAGGAGTGTCGGTAAGGCAAAGAGAGAGAGAGAGAGAGAGTAGAGCGAGAGAGTGAGAGAGCACGAGAGAGTGAGAGAGCACGAGAGAGAGTCCGAGAGAGTGAAAGTGAGGGAGCATGATATCGAGAGAGATAGAGTGAGAGATATAATTCCTATTAGTGTATCAAAAATTGTAATCCCAGGAAAGCGGCAAGACATAGTTAATGTCCAGTTATCGAATAAGCGTAACTATCTGACTTCAGTGGTCCTTTAAACCCCAAAAAACGGAAATAGAATCCGTTCCGTTCAAACGGTTCAACCGCACGTGGAGTGGCAGGGGAAAGGGCACAGTTTTGGGATCTCCGGTGCAGTGGTGCTGGTTGGATGGTGAGTGAGTGAGTAGCTAGTAGATGAGTCGAGTGCCACAACAAACATTGGCTATGCTCGCCTCGACTCTTCTGAATTCAACCCGAAAACCTTTTTCGCTTTTTTCCGAAACCCACCTATCGACGTTGTGTTTTGCGATGGAAATCGAGACTGACGGTTTTTGATGTCAGAAAACATGTCAAAACCATATGAAGGGATTTCAGGGACTGTGAAGCCTTAAAAAAATCGCCGAGAGTCAAAGTTTAGAAAGCGAGAGAGAGAGAGAGAGAAGAGAGAGAGAGAGAGAGAGAGAGAGAGAGAGACAGAGAGCGGTGGACGAGTGAAAGCTAGAGAAAGCGAGAATGCGAGAGGATGCAAAAGAGTGAGAGAGAGTGAGAAAGAGTGAGAGATATAGAGCCAGAGAGTGAGAGAGATAGAAAACGAGAGAAAGAGAGAGAGCGCGAGAGACTTTAGGAAATATTTGGCTGATGACCTTCGAAAAACGATGTTTTTGCACTTGCAAGCTCGCAGAGATCTTTTACGACTCTACTTACCATCTCTTTAAAACAGAAAATTTGATTTCCGCGTATTTTACGATTTTTTTCTGCTTTCCAAAGGCTTTATTCGCACAATAAAGGGCACTTATTTTGCAAAAGGGTACAAAAATCGAAAATAATAATTCCATATACAGTACTCGCAGAATCTCGGCGCAAAGGAAAAGACACAAAAATAGCCCTGCTATGGAAATATCGGTGTGCTGTTGTGTGGAAGTGAAAGGGTACAAAAAATACAAGTGTGGTACGGTAAGTACAAAATTACATATACAAATTTGGGCAGTCAAATAGGGTCACTTTTGGGAAAAGGATACTGTAGTTCGTCGGTACGGTATTTTGGGAATGCGTTATTACGGTAGTTGAGTACTACGGTAGTACGGTCTTACGGTAATTACGGAAATAGGGTATTACGGTAGAAGGGTAATACGGTATTTTGGGAATGCGGTCTTACGATATTTGGGTATTACGGTATTACGGCGGTCTAGTAGTCTGTAAAAATCCAATTTTTCTATGTTGAGAGTACGGTAGTGTACTGTGGACGGCAAAGGAATACTGTAGTTTTATTGGTGGAGTGCTTCGTACAAGGTCATGGCGGCGATGTGACCACTTCCTTCGATTACCTGAAAATCATGGTTTTAAAGGGGCTAGGCAGGGCGGGCTAGCAGGGATTCTTTGGGGAAAATTGACTCAGCACTTTAAAGGCACTTATAAGTCAGTTTCAGGGGCGTGCTGGCAGAGATTTTTGGGGAAAAGTGTAGGGAAGACGTCGAAAGTGCCTTTTAAAGGAGCTATGAAGTCATGTTTCGACTCCCTGGACCGGCTAGCCAAGATTTTTGTGGAAACGGCTTTTTGATTCAAGCTATTTTTAAAGAGATTGTGAGGTGAGTTCTAAAATTCTTGGGCTGGCTAGCAGAGATTTTTGCGTTTTGGTATCATTTAATGGACTGACCTCCACGATAAGCCCGGGCACGCCGTAGCAGTACGTCGGCCCGAAGGGGTTCCTGTCCCCCTCGCTGTTGTGCGTCACAACCACCGGCTTCACCGCCACCCCGTCCACGTTGAACAGCACGCTCATCTCGGCGAACTGGAATATGGAAATTAGACTTTTTAAAGAATTGAAAAATTTAATAAAAAATCGACAATGTGTTTTAGAATTTCATTTTTAATTACGAACAATTTTTGTCGTTTAAAGGGTCTTAAAAGTGACTAAATCAATCAAAATTTGCCTATCTAGTGCCTTTAAGATGCGATTCCGTTCGTTATTATTATTTTCTTATTAGTATTTAGATATACTTAGATAGTTTATTATTTTCGTCTAAAGACCTTGAATTGGGGCCAAGACTGAGCTAATGCCCGTATTTTATGGCCATTTTATGGGGCAGCTGGCACGCATAATTGGAGGAGGAAGAAAATCGTCCTGAGATCAAAATTCTCACTCTCCATTCTATTAATATTTTATCTAATTTTTCTGCTTATTTTTGCTAATTCTTATTTTTCACAATTTAATTAGGGTTTTTAATAATTTTTGGGATTTAGGGAACGATGCCTCAAGTAGTAAGAAATCCTGTGGCCCCTGGAATTCCGTTTCCATACTATGCCCACAGCCTAGTCAGGGAGGCAAATTTGGGATTAATCGAGGGGTTGTGACACATGTCCTTATGTGCCATGATGGATCGAACGAATTCGCACTATATCTTTGCGCTCTTTCTTTGTCTCTCTCTCTCTCTCTCTCTCTCTCTCTCTCCCCGATGCCACGATATGCAAATTGAATATGGATGCTTTTAGTCGGGTTCGGTGAATGATGACGGAATTCGGGGACAATGCTATTACGAATTAATGCCCATTATATACGAAACTATAGATAAAAACAATTTTTATCTGGATCCCGATAATCCGAGTTTTTAATTTAGCATACTGTAGGTGACGCCAAGCCAGCTAAATACCTCAAACGTACCTTAGTATCCGTACAAATCTCGGTCGTCTCCTTCCCTCCGAGAGCGGCACGGAAATTGCACCGGGAATAGCTGCAAAAGCGCCGATTAGCGATTACAATGGATTAAAGGGACCGGAAAAGCAAGATTCCCAATCGACTTACATGCCAAAATTGTAGTGCGTCGGCATATTGGTGTGTAGGATGATTTTCTTGACTCGTTTCGTGCTCGCGTCGAAGAGGATGTCCTGAAAAATTATGCTTATTAGACGATTGGACTATAGGTTTTAGGTTTTTTTTCAAAGAGGTTTTGCCAGTTCGCTCTGCTGGCCAGCTAATCCTAACAAATCTTTGCATGATTGCTGCTAGCTTGCCTGGAATACCTGACCACCAATAATCTCTGCAAGTTTGCCCTAAAATTGCGAAATGATCTCTGCTAGCCTGCCCTACAAGCCCTCGAATCCTAAAGGATCCTTGCTAGCTTGCCCCGAGCCAGGACCTCCCAAATAATTTCTGCTAGCCGACCCCTCGACTGCTTCCTAAATGACCTCTGCCAGCACCTCGAGGCAGGCGTGATTCCTAAATGTTCACCGCTAGCTCGCTCTAGGGGATCCACCTATCACAAAGTATCGCTGCTAGCTTGCCGCCGGCGTCTAGCCACCGATATTCCTATAAATAATCTCTGCCAGAAGGCCTCCAGACATCGCGATTCCTAACTAATCTCTGCTAGCTCGCCCGATGATTTCAAGTTCCTAAAAAACCCTGCTAGCTTGCTCTATCCGAACGAAAATTTTAAATTTTCGAAAGCACCCCCCGCTCGCCTACTTCGAGTTCCCTTCCCAACCCCTTTAAAGGTACCGACAACCCCAAGACGATGAGAAACCCATGACAACTTTCCTCCCCAGGGAGGGATGTCCTCATTTAGCCCCGTCCCTGTGTTTCTGGGGGTGTCGCCCGGGGGGCTAATTATGCAAATTCGGGGGGACAAAGCGACCGCCGTTCTCGTTGGCCGCTCCGGGAATTCGGGGCGGATGATTGCGCGGCTCACTGCTAGGGCCTTAGGGCCCAAAAGGGCCCAAAAGGGCCAAACCGAGGCTCGTCGACAATTGGGGCAAACCGAGGGAGGGCTGGATCCGACTAACGAGTCTGAACGGATGGATGTTTAGGCTGGGATTTGTCTCGAATTCGGAGATATCATTCCGTTCCGCCACCTTACTATGAACACTTTGGAGTTTTGAGTACCTATTTTTGGCTAAATTGCTAAATTGAGGAACCTAGCTAGATAGCAGAGATTCTTTGGGAAAGCAGGGAAACTAGCTAGCAGAGGCAGTTTTGGATGCCTAGCACGTTAGCAGAGAAAATTTAGGAATGATCGCCTACCAGCAGAAATCCACAAAAGCTCTGGCAAGCTAGCAGAGATCGTTGAAGAAATTCAGGCAAACTAGCAGAAACTATTGAGGAATCCCGACCCGGCTAGCAGAGATCCTTGAGGAAATCCCAGAGTAAATTCATCATCTAGAAAACCAGGGCAGGCCAGCAGAGATAGTTTGGGAACTAAAAAAACCAAAAAGCGTGAAAATTTTAGCAAATTTAAGCCGGATTCGACCAAATTCAGACTTCACAACCCCTTTAATCCCTAATAATCGGCAACTCCGTTCAAAGCTCCTTTCACTGACTTCCCAGTCCCTTTAATCTCCCCTAATATTCGGCGCTCCCCCTTAGCCAATCGCCTTCATTAGTGAGCATCTCCTTTGGCGGCTCCTCCCGGGGGTGGGTGCTAATGAAAGGCGATTTGGGGGATGGGCGGTGTTTGTATTGTTGTGTACACGGCTATTAGTGCCTGAATCTGCCCCCTACACGCTCATCCACTGGTCAGCCAATTAGTCGGAAGGGGGGATCGGCCCCTGACTGGGTTTGGATAGGCCTGGCCACCACTTCATCCACATCGACCCTGGGGTCTCATCCTCCCCTCCTTCTAGTGTTTATCTGCCCTCCACACCCCTTTAGGTCGGGTTCACACGCTTCAGAATATGGAACGATTAAAGGCTTTTGACCCGGCTTTTAAAGGGCCTGAGAAGACAAATCCATAGAAAAATCGGGCTTGAAAAATTATCAAACTCGACTTCGGTGCTTTTGCATTATCGGGGGCGGGACACGGCCCAGAAATACCTATTAATGCAATAGTAGTTATTATAATAGTAATTTTGGTAAAATGCAACATTAATTAAAGGGGAAAAATTATTTTTAAATACTTGAAAATTTAATTCGAAATTTTGGTCAAAAATCGGCATTTTTTGGTTGCAAATCCTTTTTGTAAATTTTTATTAATTTTTTGCGCTTCGTAATATAAAAATAGTAGAAAGATTTCCTTTCTGTATATAAAGAAAAATTAGAAACTAGGGAAAAAATCGGTTTTTCCCTGCTACCCCCGATAATGCCAAAGAACCTGCACAACAAGTTTTTGACAAATTTCGAGGATGTAACCCCGATTTTGAACGTTTAAAACTACTTTGCAACCAAATATCTAGACTCCGAAATTTTTCTTTCAATTCCCGAATAATTTCTGCTAGTCTGCCAACCTTGGGCATAGGGTGTGCTAGCAGAGATTATTTAGGAATTTTATTTTTCTAGCCAACCTATTCTCCAAATGCGAAACTTTCAAATCCAAAGCCCAGCCCCCAAAAATCGCGCCGCCAGGCCAATCCATGAATTTCGGCTGGCCTGACGGAACAGGGCAGTCGAAAGTAGAAATAATTCACACGCTCCGCCACAAAACGGCACCCAGTCCGAGAGGCTCCTATGTACGCACAACCCAACCACTCCCCAAGAATACACCAATTCCACAATTTACGCGCCGCTCCCCCGTTTTTCCCGCGGTCACCCGTAAAATTTGCAGCGGCGCCCGTGCATGTTCACTGGAGTGGCGTGGAAAAATTGGGAGTGCATAGGTTATGGGGATGGCGAGTAGGGATCGTTGGGGAATCAGAAAACCGTTTTTGAGTGTTAGAAAGACAGGCTAGCAGAGATTTTTGAGGAATTTTGTAGGATTGGAAGTGGATAGCTAGCAGAGATTCTTGAGGAACCCGTCCCGGATTTTTGAGTCCAGGAAGGCAGTCTTGCGGAGCAACTTTTTTAGGGTTTTTCGCGGTGAGCAGGCTAGCAAGGAACATTTGAGAATTTTATAGTTGAATTTAGAGGCTAGGCATGCTAGCAAAGATCCTTGAGGAACCGCGCCAGCTATTTTCACCGCAGCGATCCATAAAGGATTTTTGGATGTTTTTAGAAGCTGGCAAGCTAGCAGAAGGTCTTTAGGAATGAGTCAGCCACGGAAAGCCGAGAAACTGTAAAGCACGCTAGCGGAGATTCCTATAGAATTTCCACCAATTTTTCAGCGTCGGGCAGCCTAGCAGAGATCTTACTGTAAAGTGTTTTTACTCAAGTTGGAGTTTCGATTCGGGACCAAGTGCATCTTGTGCAGAATTTTTTGCTGATTCCGAATCCGTTTTCCAAATTTGCTGCGGACTTTTATTTGGAAAGTTATACAGCAATTATGGTAGTGTTTTTCACCAAAATCAAGGAACCATTATCGTTTTCGATTTTCCTGATCAATTTCAACTTCAAAATTGGCTAAAGATTGGCTAGACAAGCATCTTAAAAGTCAAAACAAGCTTTTTTATAAAAAATTAAATTTTTTTCTGCAAAAAGCAAAAGAAAGGTGCAGGGCGGGATCCGAACCGCCGCCCTGCGCTTGGCAAGCGAGTACTTTGCCAATGCACCATGGTGCCAACCGGGAAGGGAGCTGTGACAGAGTACTTCAGGACCCTGGGAGAGGCAGAACCATGGAGGGAATAGTGGACCAGGATCCGAATTTTTGGCTTTTTCAAGCTTAATTTGCGCCAAAAATGACTTTCAAAATAAAAGTCCGCAGCACATTTGGAAAACGGATTCGGTATCAGCAAAAAATTCTGCACAAGATGCACTTGGTCCCGAATCGAAACTCCAACTTGAGTAAAAACACTTTACAGTTAGGG